TTTTCGTACAATATTCCATATCCAATCGTCAAGTACGTAATTCTTCACTTGTTAACATGCTTCTGGTGTAAATGAGATTGTAAAGATGTAAAATTAGATTGAAGATTCTCATCACAGAAAAGACATTGTGAAGTAGAAGTATCCTCGTACTTGAAACATATCCATGGCCATTCTTGTCGTCCTTCATCTGTTTCTTCGTATTCTTTTATATATGGATGCTTATTTTTTATATGTCTACGGAAATATGGTTCGTCGTAAACATATTTGTTACTACAAAACCTGCATTTTGCTTTGTGATCCGAAACTTTTTCGTAATATTGCCACACGTTGTCTCTCGTTATAATAATTTCTGCCATTGTGTCCGTTTCTCCCCACAAGACGCAGATAACTGAATACGGTACAAGAGGACGAAGAAATACGTATAGTTTTACATTTGAATGTAAATATTGGTACGGCAGTCAAAACAATGAAGTCCAAGTCATGAAGATGCGCTGTAACATCATGTCCAGTTGGTATAGCAGTTACTATTTCGCGAAAAAGACGTTACAACGTATCATTTACACGAATAATTTTTAAGAAATAATGCAGAACTAATTATTTACATCTCAAATAAAACTATTTTCAGATAAAATTTATATCAAAGAAATACGTATATCGTAATGTATATATGCGTGTAAAAAGTTAAAAGCTTATTGGTACGTGTCTTATTGTATTATCTCTAAATGGGTGATCGCCCCCTCTGCTCCCACTTCTCATTTTCACGGTGCCTGGATTCGACCAAAACAAATAAGCGATTATTATAATAATGAGATCATGATAATTTATTACAAATTATAATAATTTATGTCTATATAAAAATGTACATCTAACGAGATGCACTTTGCCATCTATACAGCTATGAAATAATACTATAAGTGAGAAGCAGAGCAACATTATTAAAAAAAAAATGTTTTATTACACTCAATTACGATTGTTACAATATATTCATGTACGTAGGTATATTTGCGTGGGCGCATAAATTATCTTCCATCTATATCAATTATTTTTCTACATAAAGAACAAAGATAAAGAAAAAAATCGAATTAAAAAAAAACTATGAACAATATGTAAAATTATGAACAAAAAAACGCTTTTCCGATATGAACAAATTATTTCTGTAGTATGGCTTCTTACAGCAATTTTTGTAAAATCACATTTTCAACATTTTCAAAGTAATGTTCCAATGCGTAATATCGTTACTTCAAATTGTAGATAAATAAGATAGAAGCAATAATTTTTACAAAAAAAATTAATTTTCACGCTTTAAAGTATATAAAATATGCGAGTTTCGAAAAACATTGTTGAGAGAACGATTGTATTGAAAATTTACCCTCATATGTTTTTGATTAATGGTATAATTAGAGTACATACGTTGTCGAAAGAAATTAGGCAAATATTCAATTATCGCCCGTTTTATTTCAACGGATGATCCGTTCGCTGAGACCAATATACTTTCGTAGTTTCTTATTGTTGAACAAAAATAGCGTGTTGCGCCCAGATGAGTATCTCGACTATTTCAACCACCAAATATATTACAATGTATTGATTATATTAATATTCCACTTTATAACTTTTTTTTGATTGATTATTCAGTTGAAATGCGATTACGTATCGGTTAAAGTTAAGTATTAACAACGAATGACAAACATTACTTTACTCTTTCAATGTCTAAAATAAGAGTGATTTACATTGCATTTGCGATTATCTCTCCGTTCGCAAATATGATATATTACTCATAATATTATTGACAAATTGCAGAAAATTACATTTGCGTTTTTGCACGAATTCGCAATTCTTTATCTTGAATTAAATTATTTCGAGTTTAATCAACGACATTGTAGTATGCTTTTATATTCCTTTTTATACTTCAAAAATTTATACTTCAGAAATATTTGACGTCAATAATTAACGTATTTTTTCTCTTACACATTTCGATTATATAACTAATAATTGCAATAGAGTTACGTATTCAGTTTGTAAAAAATCATTTTTTTTCTCTATTTTGAATCGATAATCGATATCCTTCGAATTGCCGTCGTGTAATTCGCAACTTATTCGGGTAACTAATTCCTAATGGAGTCTCGTCTTCTTGGAATTACCTCGGTGTCGGAGGTGGAAGTGATGGTCATACAGCACTTCCAGTGTAAAAGCTCGCCTTGCCGGCCAGTCCAGACGCTCGCTTCTTCTTCTCGCACTCCATCGTGCTGAAGGCGTTCTGAGCGATCTGCGATTTGCGCTTCGGATTCTGCAGAGTCATGCTGCGCTGACTGGAATTGGAACTGGAGCTGGTACCCGGTTCCGACACTCGAAGGATGCCCGAGTGTATTGTTCCGAAGTTCTGATATATATACTGCGACTGAATAGCCGACACTGACGTGTTCTGGTTCTTCAGCGTAATCGGAACGGTCTGGCCAGCTAGAGTATCGAATCTAGTGTCGTAACCGAACGGTGTGTCCAGCAAAGATTCACTCTTGTCGACGTAACTACTGAGTCTGGAGTCCAGAAGACCCTCGTTGTCGGCAAAACCGCTCAATCGGGAATCTACGACGTTCTGGTCGGCGCTTCTCGTGGAAAATTCGGCATACCGTTGCTCCTGGGCGGGTTCCTTGTTATCCGTGAAACTGATTATATTCTGTCGAGAATCGGACAGAATCCGGGAATCGATAAAGCCTTCCTTATCGGTGAATCCGCTCAGGCGAGAATCTATGACGCTACCCTCGGATTTCTCGAAGTTGTATCGCGGGTCGTTGTTTTTGTTATCGGGATAAGCCGGCAAGACGTGAGATAGGTCTGTCTTATCGACGTAACTGATGGCCTGTGGATTCGACGCGCAGATATCAGGTGCCGACTTGCAGAGCAACGAAGTTCCTTCTTCGGCCAATTTTTGAGGCGCTAGGACACAGAAGTGCGGACTTACTTTCCTCCAGGCATGAGAAAGGCGCGCTTATATTTTACAGGGTGTCCCGCAGCACTTCAGAATTTTTTTAGATTATTCGGATTCCTTTTCGATCTCAGGATCTTGACATACACAGACCGTAGGATCTCTACGGACTTCCGAGATCCCTTGATCTTTACAATTATGCAAACATTACGATATGTCGTCTCCATCACACGCGGGACACCCTCTCTAGCGATAAGTTCACCCACTTTTCGTTGGCTGACCGAAAGGTCGAGCCTGTTGTGGTCCCGGCGATTTCTGATGCGCCCTCACGAGGTACTCCGAGCTGAGCCCTCTCTGTTCCTTCAGCTTCCTCTCAGCGCCTGGAACCATGACTCTCACCTGTAAAAACAAAAGGTATGAATATCCCCGAGTGGATTCGTCGCTAAAATCGAGTGGAATAATTCAGGACGAGAGTTTTAATCGACAACTTCACCATCTCCTCGACCGTAGAGAATCGCGCCATGTAGCCGGACATCGTTAAAACAGCTGCCACTTCCGCGAGCATAAGCGCTAACCCGGAAAGTTGAAGGCACCAGCCGTAATGATATTGCGGTAGACCGTTATCGTCTATCTGCATGCCGGCGATTGATTGCAAACTGTATTTTCCCGGTAATTCCAATGATGCGTCCGACAATGCCGAAGCAAGTAATATCAATCCGCCGCCTAACGAAAGTCCTGAAACATATATACAATTATTATACATCAATCGGCATTGTGAGTTCGTCGAAGAAAATAATACAAAATTAAATTTTTTTTCTAATTATAATTGTGAATTAATTCAGCTCTTTGTATTTTATAAATTAAATTTACAAATTATCTCGCATTTTCAAACAATGCATTGAACTGATAAATTCATATATTTTCAAAGTTTTATTCATGAATAGATATAACAAGAAAATTTTTTCTAAAAAAAGCAATATAATTGTATGTAATAAAATTAATGTTTTTTTGTCTTTGTTTTATATGTAATAAAGCATTAAAAGATACTGAAAAACTCATATAAATTAATATTAATTAGTATTGTATTATAATTTCAACGTTTATAATAGCATTAATAATAACAACGAAATTATTAATCGTACTGGAAATAAATGTACAAAATATCATCCGAATAAATAAGAACTGACGCACGTTGATAGAAAAACGCGAGGTGCTATAACTATATGTATTTCGTCAGAGGGAGCATACACATGTGTGTGAGCACGCGAATGGACATACACGCCGTTCACGGTCGTGATATGTTGCTACTAGGTCAAGTTATTTAATCCCACCGGTATAAACCATAGCCAGCATGTCTGAAATTTATGCACCGGAGCCGCGCCAGAATGCATTCCGGGATGCACGCTACGCGATCCGAAATATTCGCGCACGCTCTTCCGGAAAACAGTTCTGTGATCGTGCTGCACAAACTCGTAACAACGGTGGTGAAGAGAACGAAATTATATCGATTCAATTCGTCCGATGGACTTTGCAATTTGCGGCATTCAATATTTTAATCGCACATCCGGTTTGTTTTATTAAACACAATAAATTTCTGTCACGCATAATCGTATAAATAAACTGTTTCTCTAAATAAATTCTATATAAATAAACTGTCGTGTAATATTTTATAAAATAAATCTAAAAATAATTTGTGCATTCTTCTTTCAATTTAGTCTACCTCATTATTTATTAAAATTATTAAACATTGTGTACAAAGTCTCTTTAGGATTGTTTATTTGTGTTGGGCGAATTGTTTAGCGTATACTTTTCTTGAACAGTAATTTGATAGAACTTTTATTATTAATTAGAATTATTTAACGTCAAAGAGTAACGAGCTTTTGACAAATTAAATTTCAAAAGAGTAAACAGAGAGCGCAATCTCTTTTCTGCAGTTAACTTTAAATGGATTTATTTTAATAGAATTTAAACTTGAAATGTACCTAGATAGACATGTTTAAAAAGTTTTGATATTTGTCGTGCACTATTTTTTTAACTTTTACGTATTCTACTTTTGCGCTTATGACTGTATTTTGCACACAATTATTTTTCTCTTTCTTCTGTCTTTCTCTATTTATTTTGTTTCTATCTTTAAAATGTATCATGAATTTCATAATTAAAATTGGGTCTAAAAAAATTATTTTTTTTTAATAGTTGCAGCAGTGTTTTACTGCGATCTGGAATTAATTAAAAAATAAGAACAGCTTGTCAGCTTGCGCGTATTCAGTGAATTTATTTTTACATGCTGGTGCATTTCTCGTTTTATTCCGCAGTCTGCATGCTCTAACCCAGAAAAGTACATCGTACGAAGTACAACGATCGCTTGTCATTACTGTTAGCGTTGTCACAGAAACTGGATCGGTCATTTGATATCGCAGACGGTATTCTCGAAATTCGAGCGTACTGTATTAATATTAAATTCCACCGGATTTGCCTAGCCAGCGGTAGCCGCGAAAATTACACGCCCGAATGCAGCCGATAAGGCATCGATCAATTTATTACTAAACTGTTTTGTAACTAAGATAATTGTAAAATTTCTGTTACAATTCGATCAGGTTATCTTTACATTAAGATTCCGAGATTTGTTCTCATTTTTTTGTAGTTAGTTTCTTTTGTATTACATTTCAAAATTAAATAGTCTTGCGAGATAAGCGTATTATTTCTTTTATCATAGATTTCTTAAATGTAACAAACTTGACAAAAATCAAATAAAAAATTGAATAAATTATAAATTATTAGCATTAATTATAACTTTGCTATTTGATATGCAAAATATTTTATGAATGTACCAAGAAAAGCGGGCTTTTTAATATGCGAGTAATAAACAAGTTTGTCATTATATTTTAAATTGTTAAAAATTTTTATCAAAATTTATTCTTAACAAAAAACAAAATATTGTATTTATGGAAAGCTCTGTTTTTGCAAGTACCTGTATTTACGGATTAAAACAATCCGAGGAATTCGCGATTCATTCGATGTATCGGAGTATCGCACCATACATCGATTGCGGTTATATTACAGCGATTAAATCAAACACGCGATATCCAATTGTGCATTGCTTTTGACGTCGAAACGCAATTAATTTTATAATTTAACGGTGAATAAAATAGTGAGTCAATGCGTTTTGTTCGTAAATAAAACAATAGTAAAGCGTGGCCTCCTAATTCATAGAATTGATTAATACCGCGATGGAAGATGCCTGCAAAATATCCGAAAAATAATGCGAAGCAAAAATAATATCGTTCCAATCGCCATACATGCGTAAAATAAAGATAATTTCTTTTATGCAATAAATATTTCATCGTAAATTATTATATATTTAACAATACTGCTTGTATGATTCGCTTTAATCGTCTTCAAAAGTAAGTTATGCAATTCTCCTTAAATTGGCACACCATTTAATTGATAATGGGTTGCGCACAATTTGCCAGGGACACGAAACCGGCGACGCGAGAAACCAACAATCGATTCATCCGGTCTTAAAGAAGCGACGTAGAGCGTATTTGTGTTCGTTCGAGCGTGAGCAAGCATTGTTGCACGTTGAATGCAATAACAAGTTGCATTAGAGTATCTTCTAACCCCCTGTGTCGCCTTCGTTGCATCTCCAAAGAGAGTGCGTACGCGCGCGATAATGTCTCCTTTATACGTATATCTAATATACCATTATCTTCTGTACACAGAATGTTCCACTAGAGATGTGTCGTTACACCGTATATTTTCTATAGTCTCTTTTGAATTATTTTTTTAAACACTTTTTTTATTAGTATTTCTTTATCCCTTTATCTATGTTTAAACGAACTTCGAACACAG